TCAGATTGCGGGTGATAAGAAGTCGTTCTTGTTTTATGAGTACCCATAACTCGGCAAGTTTCCTGGAATATTTGAGACTCAAAATTCCTTCCTTGATCGCTGTGAATCTCTAAAGGTACACCAAAACGACAGAAGACTTCATGAACTAGCTTATCAGCAACTGTTGAAGCTTCTTGATTTAGAATGGCGAAGACTTCTGGCCACTTAGTGAAGTAATCCATCACAACCATGAAATACCTGTTACCGCTTTCACTCTCCGGAAACGGCCCCGCCACGTCAATGGCTATTCTCTCCTATGGTGCACCAACATTGTACAACTTCAATGCACCTCTACTACGAGTCTGAGGTCCCTTTACAGCCGCACAACTTGTACATTTGCGACACCAGTCCTCGACATCGTCACGATAATGGACCCAGTAAAACTGTTCTCGGACCTTCAGTAGAGTTCGTTTAACTCCCAGATGGACTCTTGAACGACCATTATGGCACAGCTGTAGAACATTCGGCACTTTAGCTTTAGGGACAACTATTTGCAAACGACAGCTGTCCCTTCGACCATTGTCCCATTTACGGCACAGGACTCCATCCTGAATCAGCAAGCTGTCCCATTGGGCCCAATAGCTTTTCGTGGTTGAACTCATCGCTGAGACGTCCTTCCACTTAGGCTTGGTAGCACGGGCCTTCATCCATCCCAGAATCGGCTTGATGTCCGGATCTTCCTGCTGTGCATGTCGTAGGCTGTCCTTCCACCCGTTGCTGAGGTGGTCTGTTCTGAGCATCCTCACGGATACCACTTCCTTACCTTGCCTACTACAATGGTTGCCATCTTCAGGACAAGGTCTTCTTGACAATGCATCTGTGTTGCCGTGAGATTTCCCGCTGCAGTGTCTGATAGTAAAGTCATATTCCTGCTGCTGCTGGGCGGTGCTGTTAGCCGCACTTCCTTTCTGAGACCGTTCACCTTCCCTTCCTAGGGTGTGCTTCGGGCAGCTGGACCGAAGATGGCCACTTTCCCCACAGCCATAGCACCTAGGGCTGTATCTTCTATTGTGGTCGCGAACCGTAACTGCTGCAACCTCCCTAGCGTGAGTTGAACGACGATCCTGTCGCCGCCACGCAGTGCCGTTAGCTGCACTACCCTCCTGATATCGTTCACTTTCCCTTTTTAGGGTTCGCTGAGGGCAGCTGGATCGAAGATGGCCCTTTTCCCCACAGCCAGAGCACCTAGGGCTGTATCCTCTGTTGCGGTCGCGAACTGTAACTGCTGCAACCTCGCTGACGCGATGGGAACGATGATCCTGCCGCACGGCTTCTACCTCCAGTGCATGGACCAAGGCGTCCTTAAGCGTCTCGTGGTGCCCGAGCCTCACAGCAGCTCTGACTTCGAGGTCGCGGATGCCGTCGATGAATGTCTGCACCAGGTTCCCTTCAATGAGCGCAGGTACAGACCGGTATGCTTTTCGCACCAGCTTCTCCACCTCTAGAGCCCACTGCTGCAGGTTTTCGTTGATGCGCTGCACACGATCTTTAAGCTGCGCACGAAAGACGTGTTCCAGATGAGCGTCGCCATATCTCGCCTCCAATGCCTCAAGGAGTTGCTCATAAGTCACTTCCTCACCGAGAGCTTCCAGAACTGTTAAGGCCTGGTCGCGCAGGCCTAGTGTGAGAGCAGTCATGGCCTGACATTTATTCCAGCCGTTCGCCTTCATAACAGCCTCGAACTGAATTTTGTAGGCTGACCAGGAAGAAGTCCCGTCGAATGGTGGCACCTTGAACCCACGTAGCGAAGGTGTAGTAGCTACTACGGGAGCTGTAGTTCCATCCCCCAGTTTGAGGTCGTCCAGCGTTTTCTTCACGTCAGCCATCACGTAATCAACCCGATTGTTTACTTGGTCGATTTGGGTTTTAGCTTCCTTGATTTGGGTTTCAGCTTCCGACAGTCGGTTGTCATGTTGAGCAACCCTATCCTTCACCTCCCTAATCTCTTTCCCGAAGTTAGCGTGAATGTCCTACACGAGGAGCATCTGCTCTTCCTGTCGACGGGCCTGTTCCTCCTGTCGGCGAGCCTGTTCCTGCAGCATCACCATCAGAGCACCTAAATCGGGTGCTGCAGATGTAGGAGCTACTGACGGGCCCGCAGCCGGCGGCTGGCCCTCCGACGTCTGCGGCGTTGCACCACCAAATCTTCTTTGGTCCGTCTCCTGCTGGCGTTGATTTCGGGTACGGACACCCTCCGTTTCCTCCTTAGGTAAAATCGGCATGATTTTATCCCACTTCTGACACCAATTGTTACGAGCTTGAGGTTCGTGACAATAAAAATTGCCGATAAAATTACCTAAATTAACACTTTAATTTACTTTACACAAATTAAAACTGAAAACACTAATAATTAAACACACTAATTCACTTAATTCCGCTCCGAAGCTTCGCTTGTGTCGCCGAGTTCAACTCTGCCCTCTGCTCCTCGGGGTCGAGGTATATAGTCAGATTCTAATGGAAGGTATAATCAGGGGCCCGTCTGATTCAATAGTTGCTCAACGCACGAGACTGGGCTGGGTCCTATCTGGCAGAATACCCAATCATAAGGGAGAGGTCATTGGTAGTGAAACGTGCATGAATGTTGTAAGTCTGCACACTATACAAACCAACGAGAACGAAGTTCTCAAAAGATTTTGGGAATTGGAGTCCGAACCATCTCTTGGCTTGTTTGTGGCAAGCGTTTGTCTCAAGAAGAGCAGAGATGTGAGGAATTCTTTACTCAATCTACAAGGCGTGATGAGACAGGTAGGTATATTGTGCGATTACCATTCAGAAAGGGAGATCCACTATGTCTACATGGCAATATAAAGGATATAGCGTACAAACGTTTTCTGTTTTTGGAAAAACGTTTATTGAAGGACCCAGAACTTAAGGTCGCATACTCGAAAGTTATAAATGAGCATGTAAGTTCTGGTCATATAGAAACAGTGAGTTCTAACGAACTTGCGAAGTAAGCAGTATACCACATCACGCCGTAGTACGTCATGACAAGACAACAACAAAAATGCGTATGGTTGTGGACGCATCTTGTACAGACTCAAATGGGGTATCCCTTAACAACGATTTGATGGTAGGCCCCGCACTTCAACCGGAACTTCGTCATATTATGCGATGACGATGTTACCCTATCGCTCTAGTAGCTGACATCGTCAAGATGTACCGGCAAATAAGAGTAGCTGATGAGGACTTAGATTTTCAGCGCATATTTTGGCGCGCAAGTCCAGATGCTGAACTTCAGCATCTTCGCTTTTTGCGAGTTACCTTCGGCACTTCAGCGGCACCCTATTTGGCAGTTCGATGTCTTCAACAACTAGCCCGTGACGGATGTTCCAAAAGAGACGGGCGAAAGTTCATAGAAAGCTAGGCCTGATGTTACAGTATCGGTTACTGCATTATTTTATTTATATACTAATACCATTTAAAAAAAACTAAAATATTTATGACTGCTTCATGGTAGAAAAAAATATAGGATGTTATTTGTTTGTATATGAATAATGTTGTTGCTTGTGTTATGCTTACAATATTATTCTTACACCAAGCTCTCTCATTAAATTACGAAATTAATTATTATACTTAATTGTAAACTAGACTTTACCATAATATCAGGAGGATTCAGACCCCGTCCGATTAAATTCTAGAGGTTTGAAATAATTATAAAAAAGCTGAGGGAGTATGAATTAAAAACACGTTCGCTTTCAACACTTGATGCCTTGCCCAGCTTAGGTACCATATTATCGACATTACATGACAACAGCAACCTACAGTTCTATTTCCTACCAAGCAATTACAATAATATTGCTTGATGGCCTCTCTACCATTAAGAGAACTGTCAACTAAAATATATGTGAAATATATTTTTGAGCCTACATGTCTAGATTTTATTCGACCTCTTAATAGCCAGCTAGAAGGATTGAATATTGACAGTTCTCTTAGTAGGTTGCTGTCCGTTTCTCGACACACTTCTATTTCATATCTCCCATCTTGTCATATGTGTTCTCCATAATAGGACCTAGCCTGCTTAATTTGATAAATACCCAAAGATATCTTTATTATCCCTGTGTGAGCTGGGGAAAGTGATTTAAGTCATCATTTTGCACATGAATTCTTGTAAAATCTGCTCTACGTCGGTTTATATTATTTTCAATCACGTAACAGCCTAAATCGTTTTCCTTGTTCATGTTCTCATTGATTATTTGTAAAATATCTCCAGCATCAACACAATTTGTAATAGGAGGGTGAAAATCATTTAGTAGAGCGGCAGCCACCTTAAAATCTATCATTAAATGCTTCGAAGCAGTATTAAAATAGTCTCGTCTAAATAATTTAAAATCTCTTTTAAATCTTCCGTTAACTACTTCAACAACCCATCTGCATATGGTGACTGTTCTCGATCTATTGGCCTCTATTGTGGAATGCTGCCATTCACCCGCCTGCAATGTTGGTGGGACGTAAGTTCTGTAACCACATTCATGTAATAACGGCAATGAATCTCTGCCCCTATCTAAAATGCATCACCCTGAATATTCACGTACTTAACTAGAATCACGAAACTCATGATTAATGATATCTGCATCTGATTTGGTAGCAGGACAGGGGCCCATTACATCAATAATATGACCGTCTGCACATACAATCATTAATGGCTTTACCAAGTTATTATACTTATGCAAACTATAAGTTCTTTTTTGGTACAAATAATTTGAACTTTTTTCTATAGAGCAATACGTTCCATCAATTATTATTACAGGTTTATTTTCCCCGTTATAGTATCCAAATAAACTGCGTGGTATCAACAAGGTTCTGTCAACAATTTGCTGACGATTTATATGGTTAAGTCCTAAATGCCTAGGTACAAAATATTTATATAGTAAGTGACAAGCTTTAGACACATATCCATCAAGAGTTCTTCTAGGAATGTTAAAAAGAGCTGATATTCTCTCATTAGAATCACCGGTTCTCAGCTATATCAAATATGCTGTTAACCCAATAGGGCCCGATGACTTTTGCAGCAATTGTGGCACTTCATCTAAAATCCTTTGATACTGCTCTTTCGTAAAGCCTAACCAATGATGCACTAAACGGTCTTCCATATTAAGAATATTGATAAAATCAAGGCCAACATTTGAGTGACTTTTAAATTCTAGCATGTTTTGAATATGCAATGCTGTAAACACATTAACATAATTTTCTAAAGCTCCAGTGAGAAAATCCCAAGATTGCGTATTAATGTGGTGGTTGCATAATCTATTGTTTTTAGGGATATAGAAATTATAGACATCTAACAACATTTTCCTAGTTGTAACAGGAACTCTATTCCTCTCTTGTCTCCGACAACCTTCAATAAAACAGCGAGATTCAGTTTCTACTGCTCTTACATAGTCAGGTAACACTATAGCTTCACTCAGCCTGGGTGTAGCTTCTGAAGTAGCCTGTGAAGTAGAGTGCAAAGTATCCTGTGAAGTAGACTGCAAAGTATCCTGTGAAGTAGACTGCAAAGTAGCCTGTGAAGTAGACTGCAAAGTAGCCTGTGAAGTAGACTGCAAAGTAGCCTGTGAAGTAGACTGCAAAGTATCCTGTGAAGTAGACTGCAAAGTAGCCTGTGAAGTAGACTGCAAAGTATCCTGTGAACGAACCTGTGAAGTAGACTGCAAAGTATCCTGTGAAGTAGACTGCAAAGTATCCTGTGAAGTAGACTGCAAAGTAGCCTGTGGAGTAGACTGCAAAGTCAATTCCTCTTGTTCACTTGTTTCATATACTGATGTTGAGGATCCAGAAGGCGCAGATACAAAATGATGGGCGTTTCTATCAGCTCTCACCCAGCAACTGTGACATATGAGAGCTCTGTTTCTTGAAATCTGAAACAATAACTTTATAATAACAAACCTTTGTCTGTGAAAGAATATAACTGGCGAAATACGGGTGTACTGCACTCCTCTGCCTTATCTCTTGGGGGAATACAGGCACGATGTTATGTTATGTTATGTTATATATAAAACATTGTAACCATGGTCAAAGTGAAAATTTGTATTTATTAATACTGACCATACATTACCATTATCATCTGCCTAGTCTTTCCCCAACTACGGAATTTGACCCCAAGGTTGACTTTTAGTCTATCTAGATGCAACTGAATACCAGTATTTTACATTGGTACCCCTAGGTAAGGCTGGTTGTCAGACTTTCGGGCTTCTATGCATTATCATACTATAGTATAAAAAATAAAAAGTAACTGATCCCAATTAACACTTACAGTACGAGGCAAAAGCCATTCACAAATGACTGTATAAATCCTTCTTTCTCGTTCAGTGCTAGTATGCAATAAATGAGATCTGGCACGCAATACTGAACGTCCACGGTTGACACACACTTGACGATGTCCAGTTGTTGCACATGAAAGATGCTCATCTATGTCCAAAGAATGTATCACTAAAGTCCTGCATTCTTGGCAAATGCGATGAGAACTGTTGACCTACAACAATATTAGTTTGTTACTTATAGTGCTCGCCAAGAAATAATATAGATACATGGAAGTAAGTTAGACTTAGCTAGAATTATTCGTTGCACAAAGTACTGGCTAGATACAGACAGCAGTGAGAGGAGGACACTGTTTAAAAAACCAATGCCAGCCGAACTCATTTTCCGAGTGTCTTTCTGAATCCTATGTGTTCTTATTATTTCTTGCCGGTATTGAGATTACATTAAGATTATATATTTAATGCAGTTTAAATTATCCTATTGTTGCTTAATTAAATTGCTCAATTTTTTATAACTCTGTTATTAATATGAAAAGAACTACGTTAACATTTTGTGGCGTCATATAGTATTTTTACTAAAAGAGCTTTATGAAATAAATGCCATTAATTGACGATCAAACCGTCCAGTAAATCTTGTATTAAATGTATTATTTCTATCATAGAGTTAATATAGTGATTTAAGAATAAAAATAAAATACGGTACAGCAAAATGTGAAGTTGTAATAAAATAAACTATACTTACCACTTGAGGTGCAACCCATTGCTGTATCACTGAAAGAATGCTTTCGTCTTCTATTTTATGTAATCCTATAGAAGGATTGCCGCCAAGTATATGCCGCAGTTGATACAATGATGTTGATCAGTCATTTTATTTTAATTCGAAATCCGTTATATGAAGCTGAGATAAGTCGAGTAGTCAAGATAACTAAGTCCGTTGTAAGAAATGCGTGGGTGTTTCGTCAAAGTAATAACAGTCAGAATCCTTTATAAGTAGCCAGAGTCGTTAAAGATCACAATATTATTACAGCACATGAAAACAACAGAAAATATTCACTACCGCCGTAAGCTCAGAGCCAAACGAACGAAGTAAATGATTTGATTGACGTTTGAGTATTAAATATTGATAATCGACTGTGAAATCGATTTATTAACTTATTCAGTCAAGTCAATTATTACGATATTTTTGAAACATAGAAGTGTCACGAGGAAACCTTTATTTAAATAATAAGTTTTTTTAATTTTATCTAAAGAATAAAACACTGAATCACTTTTTATTGTCTTTTTTCTATTTATGTATTAAAATCGATTAACTAACCTATTTCATCCGCCATCATTGTTTAAAAATAATTTCTTTTCTCATGATAAAACTGCTTAATATTTCATTATTAATTACAAAAAAACTGTAAAAAAATATTGATATATACTTCACTTGTGTAACGGTTAGGCTCAAATTCGCCCGTCTCCTTTCCGTTAGCAGCGCCGAAAGTGCTACACGAATTTTATATGGACGACCTATGTCAGGTTGCTATACGGTAGCCGAAGGCGTTCAGATCTATGACCAGATGACCTATTGAACAAAATTCAGACTGATACCAAGGAATCAAATCATTCCTTGATGTTGAAAACAGACGAAGTGATCAAAATTCTCGGCCTGAAATGGAACAGAGACACAGACGAATTCCAGTGCACTGTCGACCTCCCACCGCTTCAATCTTTGGTTACAAGCGTATAATGATCTCTGACATTGCTCGGCTCTTTGATCCGTTAGGTTGGTTGGCGCCGACTATCATCACTGCGAAGATCTTTATACAGCAGGCGTGGCTATCTGGAATCAACTGGGACCAGGAACTACCGCCACCCCTACTTAAAACATGGGTAGCATTTCGCAGTGGGTTGCCTAAATTAGCTGATATGCGATTCCCTCGATGGATTTACTCGCAGCAAAAAGATCAGGCCTGCGAGTTGCATGGATTCTCAGACGCATCTAATGCGGCATATGCAGCAGTAGTATATGCGCGGATAGTGGACGCTCAGGAAGGGGTTCACGTAAACCTGATCACTTCAAAAACGAGAGTAGCCCCGATAAAACAAATCTCAATCCCTCGCCTAGAACTCTCCGGTGCGGTGTTGCTAGCGAAACTTTTGAACGAAGTATCGGATGTACTAAAATACCTAAGGAACGACTACACGCTTGGTCCGATTTCTCAATAGTTCTTGCTTGGCTCAGCAGCCATCCAAGTCGATGGAAAACATTACATGGCAAACAGACCAAAAATTAAGAGCTACATGACTACAGCAAATGATGAAGAAGACAATTTGCTATCGAAATATACCTCCCTGAAAAAACTTACCCGAGTCGTATCGTTTTGCCGGAGAGTCTTACGCTGGAAGGAACAAGAAAGGAAAAAGATTAGTATACAATTAGAAAAGCACACAACAGCAAAAGAAATCAACGAGTCGTTACTTTCCTGTATCAAGATGTGTCAGCGACGAACTTTTAGCGAAGACATCGGAGACCTAGAAAAGAAAGGAAAGTTGGGAAAAAAAGTAAACTCACCTCATTGAATCCCTTTTTGGAGACTTACCAAATTCTTAGAGTTGGTGGAAGACTACAGAGGGCAAACGTCGATCAAGATACGAGACACCCCGGAACGATTAATATACGGATATTAATAGACGGAATTTAACACAACGCATGGTCCAGAACTTCTGGCATAGATGGTCCCAAGAGTACCTAACTCAGCTCCACCATCGTTATAAATGGTCTTACCAAGTTCCTGAACCAGACGTGGGAAGTGTAGTATTGGTCAAGGAAGATGATCTTCCACCAGCTAGGTGGCTACTAGGTATAATCACTGATAAACACACTGGGTTGGACGGTCTCACGCGCGTAGTAAGCTTAAAATATAAGGGCAACATCATAAAACTACCAGTATCTAAATTAGTATTCCTACCTAAAGATTGTGATTAAATTAAGATTGATTTTAAATTTTTTGTTTATCCTATTTCAAAAGAAAGCCTACAAGTAAAATCACTATATTGTTATGTGACAATTCATTCATAGACTCAGTATTCATTTATTGTTAATTTCTATTGAATTTTTAGTTTTTATTTTACGTTAATTTGAAATTAGAGTCTAACTACAAGCTTTTGTTTATAATATAAGTTTCTTAAAAACCTATAAAAATTGTAAATTATGGACTTCGTCCATGGCGAGCGGAATGTTAAGGCCCGATCAATTATTTTTATAACCACATATATATGTAAGTTAAAAGCAACGGCGCTAGATGGCGTATTACCATTTCTGTATCGCGATATAATGATTTTTCTGTGTTACATGTAGTCTGACGAATAAAATTGGTTGGTACCTATTCTCACCACTGAGTACTGTGTTTTACTCAATTTTTGGGACATTGTTCATTGCCTTTTTAAGTAATTTGGATATGCACCGTTTTGCACGCACATATTCAATTTTGCAAGCAACGGGCTGATATCTTTTTTTACATACTTTAAATCCTTTACTCTTATTTTATCTACTCCCGGTGATTTATGAAAGTCTAATTTCCATACCTCGGGGCTCAAAAGGCGTATAGCACAAAACGCGACTTATCAGGAGAACGAAAAAACTAAAAAAATTTTTGCCGATATATTTTTTATTTGAAGCGTTATCTAAATGTAATCTATGGCAAAAGTTCTTAGAATTAGTTGTATTTTCATGTAATATCTAAAAAATTGCCTCTGCCTAGTCGTTACAGAAATAGCTATTCTTATACGACCAAAAAAAAAAAAGAAATTTTCTATACAACCCTCAAAAACTAGTTTGTGTGGGAATTTTAGGGCGTAAGTCTAACCTATCAAAATACAAATTACAATTAGGGTAAAGGCCACTTGCGTTTTATTTTATATTAGTATAAGACAATTTAATATATGTTTAACACTAGGTTTTCCGCCCCAACAATCATGCAGTTGTGTCCTTCACATTGCGCCGGTGTGTAATTGTGACAGGGACACACTGCAGTATGGTCAAACTGTAATTACTCTATGCTGAATGTATAGAGCGATACGCTGTCCTATTATTGATAACAATAAATTGCGCAAGCAAGAGAGCAAGTTGAATATCAGCTCTCACATTTTTACCATTTTTAATAATTAACGCTATCCTGTTATTTCCCACACAATTGGCTTATCGTGTTACACCATTTCCGACATCAGAAGTGGGATAAAGTTCTTCTTATCGCCCACATATAATCTTCGAATAGTTTAAGTGTTGTTACGTTTGTGAAAGACTATGATACGCTGTTACCTGATATCTTTGATTTTTTTTATGTTACATAACTTAATGAAAATTGCTGTTCCTATTAACGACATTGACTTATCATTAAAATATAGAGCAAAAGTTTAAAGTGAAATGTTTTAAGCCAAACGTTAAATCTTTTAGTTTGATTTATATCAAAAGTACCCGCAAGTACTTTGTTACTTTTTAATGTACCCAAATATGTTAACAAATGTTGAAAGTACAGTGGAAATTTAAGTTGCTCGAGTGATGTCATTATTTGATAGTTCATGCGAAATATGATTTACTTTGGGTACATTTTAAAGTACGAAATGTTAAGCGATGTACAAAAAAAAATGTCTAACTTTAATGTGCTATCGATTAAAAGAGTAAGTAGCTATTTGTGTTCTAATGTGCTGATAAGTGTTACAGTTTACCGGTTTACGGGATTAGCAGAAGTCACTACTACGATGATCAATAAAGAAGATGTCCATAACAGCCAGTCGACAGCGACAGTGATACGTTATCGATCCTACAATACTGTCACTGCTAACTCCAATACTCTCACCCTTAAAGGTATTGTGTCAAATATGAGCGTGTTCAGAGTTCAGGCGAATGCGTGTAAGTAAATTTCTTATCTCACTGTGTTATAGTTATTCGTATGCAATCACATTTCTTCGGCTAAAACACCTATCAACTCAGTGATTATGACATTCAATTGAAAGTCACTAGCCTTTTGAAGGGACGTGCTAAAATGTTGGCCGATAACCGGCTAGTGACGAATTCTACGTGGGAAGATTTGCGTCAAAACATCACCACCACCTCCGAACCTGAAAGCCGTTATACGCGTGACATACTGAGATTTAGAGAGCACATTTACGACTCTTCTAAGGATATCGCCGAGTTCTTATCTCGGGCATGATTTCTATGAAGACGCTTGACGAAAGACAAACTTGAAAACAGTGATGCTGTAGAGGCCGTTATCGGAACTGTGAATGACGAACGACTTAGAATTGAGTTAATGAATGTTAGGGCCACCTCGATGCCAGAATTGATATTCGTTGCCTCATCCATTCGTGTTAAGCGTCCCATTACATTCCATAAATAATTCAAATCTACCGCCCAAAAAAAAATTTTAAATATTCTTTTGATAACGGAAGTTCTTCTTGTAGTATTTGCGAAAAGATCGGCCATACTTCTGATAATTGCCGTACTAAAAGTTATTCTAACGTCCTTTCATTCGATAAAAATCGGTCGACGCCTTTAGCTACAACTAATGATAGTAAATTTTGTTCATTTTTGTTCAAAGCCTGGTCACACATTCGAGTTGTTTTTTTTCGCCGCGAAAAACTACTCGTAATAACTTCTAATATAAATTAATTGAGTGATAGTACCCGCAGTTCTATCTTAAACATCGTGCGTGTTCGAGGAGGTAATTTGCTTATAAATACTGTTTTCGATAGCGGCACCGAGTGTTTCATTATGCGTGAATCCATTGCGAATTAATTTCCAGGCCATAAGTTATGAACTATTTATGTAGAATTGGTCCGTTTCCTGTTATATCTACCAGCACATTAACAGCTATTATGCGTGATTAATAATATTCCTATAGAGATTTTGTTTCACGTACTACCCGACTTTGAAATAACTTCAGACGTTTTAATTGGTGCGAACTTACTATCTGAAACGGGTCTAAGTGTAATTATTACCCGAAATAGTGCTACTCTAATCTCTTAAACCTCGTGTCACGCATGTACGATCACATAGTCCTATTTTAGAAAATTTTAATCCTGATTTAATTAATGAATTTGAGATAAATCAACTACTTGCTCTTCTTAATAAACACTCTTTCGTAGACTCTCGAGATTTAGCGTAACCTTGAGTAAACTCAAGGTTACGCTAAATCTCGCGTTAACACTGACGAATTAGAAATGAAAAAAAAAAACCGATGAATACATAGAACGATAGGTAATACTCTTCTTATACTTCTCACTTCCGACGATCGAACTGTGTATCTCCCGAGTTACATAATTTGGTAATTTTTTATACCACATCCATTAATTAAGATGCAATGTCACGTGCAACAAAGGATGACCGAGGCGTCGGCAAAAGACAAACTCTGGTTTGATAAAGAAATAGCTAAGGTACATAACTTACATAGGGTAATCTTCGTTTTAAGGGGATATAGTACGTCAGCTCAAATTCTAATTTCGCCTCCACTTCACCGCGCGTCGTATGCTATGTACCGACATGTTTGTAACACTAATACTGTAAGTATTTAGGTCGTAAGATACTTATTTCATTTGGTTTATCATATTTATGCCTATTTCTTCACACCAACCCAGTCGCTTCTTATTTTTATTACGGTTATTTCCCATTTTAATTTTACGTCGTCCTGTTATGTAATATGTATTCTGATTGTAAGCGACACAGAATTCCCTTTCGAAAGCCTAAGCAGACTGATGGAGATTGATCGGGCGGCAGGAAACAAGCTTCAAGACGCCGATAGTTAAGGTAATTTCTTTTTTACAGTGAAAATAATGGTAATTTAAAAAAAAACATAAGCCCTGCCTTATAGTTAGTTCAGTTAGTATGCAAAGTTTCATGATCTAATTTAAAGTATTTTATGAATACCAGCGGTTTATTGTTCAGTTTGGAGGTAACTTTGGATCTTTTTTTTTCTATCGAGAACATATTTCGGAATCGTGTTTTCGTCTAACATAGTACTTAACATTAATCCTCAACTTTACCACATATTTATTTCAAAATTAATGTTGCAATATTTTTGGCATAACGGGGGATTTTGCTATGCCATTTGAGTTAGTATTTTTATAATTTCCCCTTAATAAAAAAAATAACTCCAGAAACCAAACTTTGTTGGACCACAAGTTTAGCGTGCCCTACGATATTCATAGAGTACTCTGTAATGACCGATACCTCTTGAAGAAAGTTGTCAGTCACCATGGTCGGTCACCCCGTAAAGTCCCGCATGAGCAGTTACGAATGCCCCACAACCAGGTGCAGTCTTAAGCCAACAGGCAGCCATGTCGCCAAACCTCAAAACTTGCAAAATGACGACGGTAATCTGGTAGACAACGGTGCTGGACCTTCAGTCATGATAGATGCTACAAATTAAATGGTGAGCAGTTTCCAATTTATTCTAAGCTGCTATCTATTATAATTACTGTATCTATTAATTACATAGCTATTAAACTAAAAAAATTGTGGAGGCAAATATAAACATTAAGTTATTCTTTAAAAAAAAATAACCACAAGCCGTGGAGGCGACAATTTATACTCTCATGTTATCCTGCTGGGACACGGCGTCCATGACCGCTCAGCACCCAGTTCCCTATTTTCCCGTCAAATAAAGAGACTTCGTGCCTGTCACGGAGCAATGGTCCTAAGCTCCTTACCTTACTCTCCATCAGATCAAAGACTTTGTGTCTATCACAGAGCGGTGTTCCTGGTCCTACTTCCTCTATTACTTCAAATCAAAGACTTTGTGTCTATCACAGAGCATTACTGTCACGTGAGAAAAATATAAACATAAGTAATCCTTTAAAAATAAAAATAAATTATAGCCGTGGAGGCGACAATTTACACTCTCATGTTATCCTGCTGGGACACGGCGTCCATGACCACTCAGCACCCAGTTCCCTATTTTCCCGTCAAATAAAGAGACTTCGTGCCTGTCACGGAGCAATGGTCCTAAGCTCCTTACCTTACTTTCCATCAGATCAAAGAATTTGTGTCTATCACAGAGCGGTGTTCCTGATCCTACTTCCTCTATTCCTTCAAATCAAAGACTTTGTGTCTATCACAGAGTATTATCGTCACGTGAGAATGATACAATACTATACCTAATTGAAAGTACAACTACAATCTATAATTTTACATATTTACAAATGCAATGAGAATAATTTATGGTTTTAATTATTAAAATTAAGTGCGAGTGGTAAGTTACACTCTCATGTTATCCTACTGGGACACGGCGTTCATTACCGCTCAGCACCCAGTTCCCTATTTTCCCGTCAAATAAAGAGACTTCGTGCCTGTCACGGAGCAATGGTCCTAAGCTCCTTACCTTACTTTCCATCAGATCAAAGACTTTGTGTCTATCACAGAGCGGTGTTCCTGATCCTACTTCCTCTATTCCTTCAAATCAAAGACTTTGTGTCTATCACAGAGCATTACCGTCACGTGAGAATGAAACAATACTATACTCGTACCTAATTGAGACTACAACTACAATCTGTAACTTTACATATTTATAAATGCGATGAGAATAATTTATGATTTTAATTACTAAAATTAAGTGTGTTTTTAAAAGCTTCAATTGCCATATGATCATCTCGTCATTATTGGGTATGGCTCCAAATCAAAGCCATTATTTACAAAATGAATACTGTGTTAACAAGTCAATAGAGATAGAAGATTATTCACGGCAGGTGCAAAGCGCGCACCGCCGATCAGAATGGCCGTGTCGCCGCAAGGATTTCTTCTAAGCCTAAACTTTGCATAGTCTTTTAATTTTTTATAAATTATAATTTAATTGATAGAATCAGGCGTTACTTTGCGGAAATCATAAATTATAATTGTTAATATTACAATTTAATAACAGCAATTTATCAAAAACATAACATGTAACTAACTAGTTCTTTAAAAACTCTTTTGGTTTACAAATCTCTTTATTGACAACTAATTCCTGGTAAAACAACTATTTATTCCATTATCAAACTTGACAATGCAAAGTTTAGGCTTAGAAGATATCCTTGCGGCGACATATGTATATATATATATATATATATATATATATATATATATATATATATATATATATATATATATATATATATATATAGCAATTCACAATGCTGTGTTAGTCCCTACTTTAATGTATGTCAGTGAATATTGGGTGTGGCAAAAGAAGCTCGAGAGTAGAATAAATCTCTAGAAATGCGGTCATTAAGGAGTATGTTATGGATGAATCTGAATGAAAGAGATGAGAAATTGTTTGAAAAGAGAAGAGTGTGGTTTGCAAAATGATGTGACCAGGATTAAGAAAGGAATGCTTCGGTGGTTTGGTCTTGTAGAAAGAATGAATGAGGAAAGAGTGATAAAGCAAATTTATGTTGCAGAGGTGAACGGCAGAGTCGGGAAAGGACGCCCTAGGCGAAAGTTTAGCGACCAAATTAACGATGTATTGAAAATGGGCCAAATCAAGAGTACCTTTAACCGACGAGCGTGTATGCGTAGGTATATGGATATGGAAGAAGCGAGAGAGGTGTGTCAGGATCGTGTCAAATGGAAGTCCATAGTCTCTACCTACCGCTCTGGGTGACAGGCGTGAGTGTCTATGTATGTATATATATATATATATATATATATATATATTATCCTAAGCCAGCACTTAACTACAATCCCACCTGATGGTGAGTGGTGATGTAGCCTAAGATGGTGAAGCGCACTGAGTTAACAAAAGCCTTTTCACTCTTACCTTGAAGACACCCACATTGTGATCGGATGGAAACTCAGATGGTAGCAACTTAATCTCGTATTACACTCCTTTGCTGTATGCATGATGAAAACTAAGACAAAACTGAGTCCTGCTTATGTGTGAATATTTAAATCTGAGTGTTGTCGTTTGCACACGTAGTGGCCAAGACTAATGTTTGAATGTATGCGTGTCTGTATAGATTGCTGCATTTGAGTATGCAACTTTATTTACTTGGTATAAATTATGTAGTGAGTGATCTTCGTATTATGTAGCTATTACTTTATCGATTTGAATTTGTAACTTTATTTTGTCCAATACTTATAAAATAAAACGGTAATAGAAAATTACTATATTTATTGTTCAAAAGTGAAACAATAGATTTTACCAAAAATTTTACTCAAGCTTACTCAAATCTTCCTTTTCATCGTCTTCTTCTTCATAGTTGGTTTCATTTAAAGTCTCACGCACGTTAGAGTCGTTCGGAAGTTTATGATATTCTTCGTGAAATCTTTTTGGAATGGCTCCGGTATCACAAAGACGTATTAGGTCTTGGCATTTCATACTACTTATTTTCAATTTAGAATCGTACAAAACTCCGCCCTACTTGCTTCCTCATTAATTTTTATTTGCTTGTCTTTTTTCCCTTTTAACTGTCCTTTCCCTTTTCTTTCCTTTCCCTTCCTTGATATGTTTTCACATAATATTACTGTATGAGAGACTGATTCTTGTTTCATCGAGTATTTAACAAACATTTGGTTTGGATGTTTCCTTTTAAATGTGGCGATTCTTACTTGTTTGCATTTTAGTTTTTTTAATGTTGCTGATGTGAATGTCTTTGCAGCTAAGTCATCTAAGTTAAGAAAATCTGTGTGATCCAGTGAGTGAACTTTGTATAGCCGTGGTCTTTTGCGGGCGGATTCAAAGTAGGTCGTTCATTGCGAAGGAGCATAAACTATTAGATTTTTGATCTATCTTTCTATCACTGCATGTACTGCATCGACAGACATAAGTGTGCCCTGGCAGCAGGTAATTAAGTTGTATGACTTCCAAATTAGTGGCCGTCTTGATAAAATTGTTCACAGCAGTCAGCACTATTTTGTTTTTATTTTGGCCCCTACATGAGTTGCAGTACAGTATTAGGTGCTTTGTGCCTTTTCTGTCCATCACATCTAGATACTTCAACAGGCAAGTAGCTATTTCATTGCTCCCACGTTTGCCATCACACTCTCCCCATGTGTAACAATAAACGTCCTGTGTACCACTTTCATAAAATGTTAAGTTGTAAACTGCATATTTACGAGAATAATATAGCAGCATACTTTCCACATGCGGTGTATTTAAAACTTTCTGTAAGTCAAAACTAGAAACGATTGTTTCATTATTTAATGTCCTTAGATTTTGATAGATCTTGAATCTCAGTTTTGTAGCATTTTTTCTTCAATATGTGCATTCATCGACTCTTTATCAATTTCAGTCATGGTTTTTTGTTGTTTTCAGCGTTGATACATGTTATGTATTTATCTTTTTTTGGGATATGGAAGCTGATATTGTATTCCCTAAAAATACTTCTGAATACAGTCTCACTAACATTTTCTTGGCCAGTTTCATTGCAATCTTTTAAATAAATACGATATAAGTTTGTTACGTTCTTCAGTTCTTGTGGGAGATATGTTCTGTTAGTCCTTTTTCTGTTATAGTGCGACGTTACTGCAGGAAGTTTTTCAATGAAGCTCCTCACGTAACTTTTTGCTGCTTCTACATATAGCATTTGGTGTTCTATTATCTTTTTGGGCCATACCCTCTTGGTTGCGCGGAAAAACCATTCGTATTTATTTATTTTGACGGTAGGCTGCCAAATCGGTTATCCCTTTCCAAAACGATATCATTCATACCCTCCTATCGACACATCGGGGTGGTGGGGTGGGAGGGGAAAGAAGATGATTCTAGAATATCACGTAATCATCGCAACCGAAGGAATAAAAGGCACGCGCGACCGACGCGCGCCTCTTCCCGCCGCGCTCGTCGTTGGAAATACACCGCCTAGGATAATAGTGTCCTAAAGGGCTCTTCCCGCCGCGCTCGTCGTTGAAACCACACCGCCTAGGATAATAGTGTCCTAAAGAGCTCTTCCCGCCGCGCTCGTTGTTGGAACCACACCGCTAGTAGAACCGCTTTAGCCTGGAAGCAGTCGAGCTCCAGGAAACCCGCCTCACCTCGTGTGAGATATAGTCGCGCACCGCCTCGCCCCAGGGTGTGTCTGTCCAGAAGAAGTTCCAGAAGTCGCAGCTATAATGCCCAACAGCATAGAAGAGACACCCCGGTGAGTGAATATTCCTAATAATATTGCCTGCTTGATATAATTGTGTTTTTAACCCGCTCCAATTTTGTTTTTCTCCTAATCAAGCAGGATTCCTTTCATCGATTTGGCAAATAATAGTTCATTTTAGGGAAGAGCGAGTGCATTGTACCGCATGCTATAGTCGCCGTTTATATAAGTGTAGAAACATTTTGTAGATACAGTTCACTTAGATTAATAGCTCGCGTAATAGGTTTTAAGGTTCGATCGGGGAATTAGACTTCGGCAACCTTAGGCTCGACGCTCCACCACCTCTATAGCATGTGATACGGTGTACGACATATATTTTTGAGTAATGTCTAAGGTATCGAGCAAAAACTTCTGACACACTTGTTTGTAGCCTTTAATTAAATACTCGTACGTTGCGTTTCTTCGATTCGATGAACTTTCCTTTTTTCTCCTTTTTATGGGAACTAATTGAGAACAACTATCCAATCCCGTCTACGCTGCATGACTAAACTCCAGAAATGTTGATGCAAAGAAGTACGCCTTTCTTCAGAGATGTTAAAACACCCTCTGGCACACTTGCCAGGAATACATGGATTAGGTTTCATTTTTTTTCCGGTACAAGTTGTCCACTCTTGTTTTCATAATTTTTTCCTGCATCTTTTAAGGTCTTAGTAGTTTTACGTTTATTAATTGACTTCTCTTTTTTTCTTATTTGTTAATTTTTTCCAAAATTTACACTGGCACGTTTCTTAACTCTCTTCTTCTTCATCTTATTGGCGACGTGTTCTTCACCACTGCTTGAGTCTGATTCCTTGCATGACCAATTGTCAGAACTACCCGACGAGAAGTCTAGTTTTTTCTTCGTAGGACAAAAAAGTCTATAAAAGATTTCTTCACTGTTTTGTTCCTCTTTCTTTTTCCTGATTTTGTCCTTTTGTCGATTTCAGCATGATTATCACAGAAAGACGGAGCGCTTACTCCGTCTAAAGTAGTTCTGTGAATTTCAGTGCAGATAATAACATCCATTGTAGTTTCAACCGTATGATCTTCAAATAGACTAATATTTTTTACATCAGAATTTGAATTTTCTTTGCGGGTTTTAAACTCGATAGCTCTTTTAGCATCAGATGGTACTGGTGCTTATGTGCATGAAGACTGTAGTAGACATCCGTAAGTAAAAGCATCTGAGTTTTCTTTACAGATTCCAGAAACAGAAGCTTTGGCACCAAATGGTTCTGCCGCTGGTAAGTTTGGAGACTGCTGAAGAGATCTGTAAGTAGCAGCATCCCAGTTTTCTTTACATATTCCAGAAACAAAAGCTTTGGAACCAAATGGTTCTGCTGCTTGTGAGTTTGGAGACTGCTGAAGAGGTCCGTAAGTAGTAACGTCATGACGTATTAGGTGGTCTATATAATGCTATAAGGTGAATGTCTCTTGTTGCTGTTTTCATTAGACAGTGTAATATTTCTGTAGCACGCGCTCGTATATAATTACATTTTTCTATATTTAATTCATTTTTACTGTATATTAATTATCCACCACCTCGAAATTTTTCTCTAGTATCTTGTATATACAAACGTCTCATATCCGCCTATTTGGTATAGCGCTATTTCTTCTCGTTTGACATTGATTTCACTTAATATAATAACATCTATTTTATATTCACAACTTCCTAAAAGTATTAACAATTCGTTATAGTTCTTTCTTAACGATCTAATATTTATATGTATTATTCGCAATTCGTTTATTGTTTTCTTCATATACGTACTCCATTTATATATATCCGTAAATTTTTTGTATTCTGTATTACTTTAGAAACAGGATAGTATATCGTTGAATTTTAGTTAAGTTATAAAAAATCACGTAGTGTAGTCATGAAATATTAAATATTGTGTTATTGTTATTCCTCACTACAGGCATTATTTAGCTTTTGTATGTCTGCATCAGATCGTCCATTTACAATTTTTCCGTTATCCTCCTTTTTAACCAAAATTCGAAGGTTCTGCACCCATATATTCTTATATTTTCCCTTTAATAATGTTTTAGTATTCCAAAACAACTGCTTCATCTGTTTTGTTAAACATTCATTTATATACACACGTTTACTGCTATTATTTTGTAGTATATCATTATTACACAATTGGTGTTTTTTCGCATAATCCATTCGTTTCTGTTTGCCTTCGCACGGAACGTCACGATAATAGGTCGTGGGTGATTAGCATGTTGTTTTTCACGACCTACCCTCCACGCCTCTTCAATATAATCAGGATTTAAATTAAATTTTTTAGCAATTACACGCACAATCTGATTTGTGTCTTCATCTTTTTTATTCTCTAATCCTATTATTTCTATGTTTTTTTTTTTCAACTTCTTTTAACTCCATATAGGCTACCCTTTCCTCTAGTGCTTCATTGACTTTTTGCAGATAAACTTTTTTATTTTCTAAATCTTTTAACTTTTTTTCGGCTATTTCCTTGAATTGCAACATGTTTTGGTACTGTTCCGCATAAAAATCGACAGCTTCGGTCAATTCTTGTATTTGATTTTTCATCTGATAGATTATTTCTAATTTGTTGTTAACTTTGTTAATACGGATTCTGCCGTAGCTTTACTTACATCTTGTATGTTTATCTTGGACTGTTGCATTCTTGGACTGTTTTCAGCCTTGAAACACCCATCGCAAAGATCATTTCTCTGTTGGAACTGCTTAATATTTATGCACTTTTTCTTCACAGTTACCTTAGCACTTGCTAACTTCATCCTTTGCTATTGATAAGAATAGCTTACACTTTTTACCATCTTGTCAGAACTTAGCTCAAATACAGTAGATACACGTATATAATTAAACGAATCGATAACACACGTCCGTCCGCAGGGTATGCGCACTTTTGCGGTAGGTCAGGGTATATAGCCGTCAGGGTATGCGGAATTTTGTACTTAAGATATTTCCTTGTAAGAATTACCTGATCCTGGATAGCTATCATGAATCCCTCTGTTTCGGAGAATATTCCTCCTCTACAAAGCCATTTAGTTGAGGCAACAACATCCACATGTTGTTTTTTAGCTCATGAGCAAAACGTCCGTGAATAGCCTTCGATGCCTACTGGCTAAGTTTATTCTTAACATGGTTTACATCACTTATTGAGGGTTCAATATCTCTTGCATGCAGGAGATCCATCTGTGTAAGCCTGTCGTCAGCCAGGCAGACAATACGATGCAAGGGAGAAGATTCTTTATTCCAAAAGTACTGCTGTAA